AACGCTTTATATCTCAACAAATATCAATCTTAGCGATTCAACTGATAAAACCTTTTTTAAAGAAAATTAAATGTTATACAAGTTTGTCCTTTACATTTTTTCGATGAATCCAGTCACTTTTAAAATATCTTCAAAAATATAAGAATTTTTCACTAAAATCAGATTTAGTGACCCGTACATCCTACAGGTGCAGATTACAGCTATGGCACATAAAGCATTTTTGTTAATTTAATTTCACAGAATGTGTAAATGAAATAATGCATGGTATATACGTTTTAATTAATTTCTTTGGATCATAAAGTTTCCTTAAAAATTAAAATCAATGAGTTTTTTTTATAAAATAATTGTTTTATATTTGTTTAACAATAAAACACATCCAAAGCAATCGAATCGAATATAAAATATCATTAAAAATTAAAAGAAATAATTTTTATAACCATTTATGCAGGTGTTACAAAAATTGATTCTATCCTCCGTGAATCTGTTTTTGTTATAAATTTTATGCAACGGATGGCGCTTTAATCGTTTTAAATAAGCAAAAACCTCTATTTACAACATTATAGATGCATGTGATTCCTGAAGGTCAGTTAGAATTTATATGCAGATGAGAGTGTTGCTGTTTAATAATTCAAAAGTTTAAGTTCATTAATTCGCCATTTAAAAACCTATCCACCGTGAAGTGTAATATCTCAGTAAGTAGATTTTTTTATAAATATTTTAAGTATGTACAATTGTATTTTAAAAAAATATTAAGGCGTCAAAAGATACAATAACTTATTTTAAATATACAAAGGTGAAAAAAAACATACGAAATCCTAACCTCCGTGAAGATATCTTCCGAGAAGCTCTAATATTCAAAATGTATGATTTCTTAAAATTCTTGCATTAGTGCAGAACCACTTATGTTATGTTATTACTAGACCTGGTAGCTTCCCAAAAACCCCATTCTAGACTAACAGTGAAACAACCAAAAATAAAAAATAATCATTTTCACTTGGGGGACATCTCAATATATTCACCCATGTATTCATAGCTTTTAATGTACAGGCAAATTTTAAAATTTGATCTGGTTTTAGACATTTACCGTTCTTCAACATCTTTTAAAAGGTTTCTATTTTAAAATAAAGGAAAGTCATTTGAAACAATTGTAACGCTAATAATTATTTCTAATTTGCTATTAATTTAACCTATGATAATAACATCCTGCGTCGTAGACAACGCATAGCGGAAAGGTGCGGGCAGAAACATTTTGTATGAGTTAACGGCCTCGTTGGAACAGGGGGGTATTCAGGAAAATTTTAATTTAATAAATCGAAGAATAAACAATTTAATAAAAATATTATTTATTTATTTAATTTGATGCCTCAATTTTTTTAACATGTGGGTAATATATTTTTTGCTTACGCATGTCGAAGCCAATCGAGGGCCCCGTATCATTGATACGGCTGATACCGCGGAAGCTACGCCCCTGATCCCCATCCAAAGAAACGCAGAAAATCCTCTAGACGAATATAGTTTCGACAGCAAAGAAAATTTAAGTATTTCCTTTAAAAAATTTAACTTTATTTATTTTGCGTACTTCATCAAATTATTTTTTCTTCTTCCCTTAAAATTTTGGCGTATTAGTTTTTAAAATCGGTTGGTTTGCACAAATTATTACTTTAATTAAGTGTGGTTTAAAAGTACGTGATTTTATAAAATGATTCTTGTGAATATACAATATGTATAATGGTGTATAATTAATAAATTAAAAAATTAAGTTTTTCTCAAATAACGTACCAACCCATTTTAAAACTAATAGGGGTATCGTATAATTTTAAGGGCATTTTAAATCCCTTTATTTTTTAATCGGTTTGTTTGTTTTCAAGATATTACAGAAAAGTTTTCTTTTTTAATTTATTTTTGTCTTAAATATCTCAGGAACAAACTAACCGATTTTAAAAACTAATACGCCAAAATGTAGATATTTAAAATGCCTTTAAAATGACGTATCACTCATTTTTAATTTAAAGTGGAGAAGAAAACCGGGGTGGAAACTTTTTGGTTAATTTAATTTGGAAAATATCAAAAAAATTTCATTTTCACTAATCAGCGTTCAAATTGGAGTATTTTAGTATTTTTATTTAGTAGTTCTGAGATACAGGGTATTAAAATTATACAGTAACCGTACAATATTAAAAAAATATAAATTTTAAAATACAAGTTTTGGTATGCTGTAGGTAATATCTAAAACAAATATTTTTTTTATTTAATTTTAATTATTATAGGTACCGGGTGATTTTCTTTATACGCTGCTGGTTAAATATAATAATAAAATAAGATAAGATAAGATCGAAGGTAGGTTCTAAAAACACATGTAAATATTCTTCAATTAATCAAATTTGGCAATATGTATTGATTATAATACAACAATAAGAAAGCTAATGATAATATTAATAATAATGATAATAACGATAATAATGCTAATAATGATAATAATCATACTAAATACATAAACGGAAATGAAAATTGATATTAAAAATACTTACCATTAAAATTATTAACTACATGGTCCACAGACAGTGTAAGGTTCTTTATAATCTATAGATATTTCGCAAATCTTTTTATTAACTGAATATTTATATTTTGTATAATACAATAAATATTACTATACGTAAATCACATCCATACAACCATATTAAAAATTACGATCTACTAATATTTTTACAGTAATATTTACCAAAAATGTGTACTAAAAAAATAATATATTGTATTAAATATTTTATTTAACATTTCAATTTTACTGACGAATATTTAAAAGTATAACCCTCAAAATTTGATCCTTTTTTTTACTATCTGAAGCTTACTTATCTCCGTTCAGGAGGGAAAGTGTGATTTTGGACCAAATGGTAAAGAGCATATCGGGACTGTATCAGAGCTGTGAAATACATATTCATTATTTATATGCCAACGCCGCGGCGTTGCCAAATTTAGGGTTTGAAGACGTAGTTTAACTATGCCGAATATATACAGCTAGCTGAGCCCGACCGAGGCGCCCTCGAACTGGCTGAACCGTGAACTAAATCTGTATATTTCATCATGTTTCACCGCCTTTTCAAGCCCACCTAAAAATTTACCCCCTGCACCCACCAACCCCCCTGATTTCCATACTATGATTAACTTTTTCAGTTAAAGCAAGTCAAAATAAGACAAAAATCTAAATAAATATTTTTTCTAATTAATGTTTAAAAGATACAGGTGATAAAGTGTTACTTATCATTTCAGTTTTTTTAATATAACTTCTACTGTGGTAGAGTTGGAAAGGTGATATTTTGCGAACAGTCACTTACTACCAAAACACATATTCACACATAATTACGATTATTCGAGTGAACACAGCGTCGTAGAAACAGGGGTTGCTTAAGCTTATTGTCCCATACAAACTTTGAGGTTAGGTTTTTATACCATTTGATGCAATTTTTCGATTACTCAGTTTGGCTACTATTAAAAAGATGTACATCTCAAACTTCGATAAAATAAACCGTTTCCGAGATATTCGAGATTTAAATAATTGTTATATCGCATTATTTAAAAGGATTATGATAACAAATTTTATTTTTTAATTTTAATTTTTAAGGAAACTTTATGATCCAAAGAAATAGTCGAGTCGACATATATCTGATAAACAATTAAAAATCATCAAAGTTTGGTACGAAAATCCTGAAAAATTTCATAAAATGTCAATGTAAACGCTTTATATCTCATCAAATATCAATCTTAGCGATTCAACTGATAAGACCTTTTTTAAAGAAAATTAAATGTTCTACAAGTTTGTCCTTTTTTCGATGAATCCAGTCACTTTTGAAATATCTTCAAAAATATGAGAATTTTTCACTAAAATCAGATTTAGTGACCTGTACCATCCTACAGGTGCAGATTACAGCTATGACACATAAAGTATTTTTATAGAACATTTGATTACAAGTAAATTCCTTTTTGGAATAAAATAACATGTTATACACCTTGTTATATCAATTTTTAGGTTAGATATATCTTTTCTCTTTAAAGTTATGTTATTAATAATTATGCTTGATTGTTATAGTGATTTATTTTTCTCTTATTACGGGACTGTAGAAAAAAACGTTATGTATTACATAAAATTGTAATGATAAAGAATTGAAAATCATCATTTATAAAAAGTTTGGTACGAAAATCCTGAAAAATTTCATAAAATGTCAATGTAAACGCTTTATATCTCAACAAATATCAATCTTAGCGATTCAACTGATAAAACCTTTTTTAAAGAAAATTAAATGTTATACAAGTTTGTCCTTTACATTTTTTCGATGAATCCAGTCACTTTTAAAATATCTTCAAAAATATAAGAATTTTTCACTAAAATCAGATTTAGTGACCCGTACATCCTACAGGTGCAGATTACAGCTATGGCACATAAAGCATTTTTGTTAATTTAATTTCACAGAATGTGTAAATGAAATAATGCATGGTATATACGTTTTAATTAATTTCTTTGGATCATAAAGTTTCCTTAAAAATTAAAATCAATGAGTTTTTTTTATAAAATAATTGTTTTATATTTGTTTAACAATAAATATAAATATAATTTTTTTAAAAAATTAGCTCTTTTTAGCTTAAAAAAAACGTGGGGGATTTTTTAAATTCGGTTAAAGGTCATCTTTGTAGGGAATTTAATTCCCTACAAAACCATATCACGGTATTTTTGTATCTGTTATATTTAATGATTTATAAAACAAAAAGTTGCGAAAAATTATTTTTTTATGAAAAATTCCTATTTAAGCGAGCGCTAACTGAATAATGGAGATAGGGGGCTAAATTTTTGACAAAATTTTTTTTTTATTATTTACAACTTAATTTTCGTATGGGACCTTGGAAAAAAAATATTCGTTTTATTTGGCACAGTCTAATTATATATGCATATTTGCCACAAATTTAGGATTTTCTATAAAGATCTAGAAACTTCATTAAGAAAATAAAATTACCTTTAGGCATTCCACAGGGCGCTTTGGTTCTGGAATTATCTAAAAAATCTAATTCATATTTTCTTGCAGGAGGAAAAGTAAGCGACACATGAGTGTTAACTAACGTCCAATTAAATAATAGTAAACATAGCATTAGAAACGCAACTTTCATTTTAAAACGTTATTTTATTGGGTTGCAATGTGGATATTTGTAACACGCGCACAAAGTTCACTATTTAACCTATTTTAAAACCAATATTGTTGTATTTTAACAAATACTGAAGAAAATTTTAACCGTTCCTTTCAACAGACCTCGACTCACTAACCATACTAACAGAGGCGTTACTCAAGTAGGCAAAGTGTGTTGAAGTCTCTTCTAAGCAGTAAGGTAGTTACTTAGCAAGTAAACGTAGTCACTGAACCTTAAGTATGTTAAGAATTTCGTTCAACTTTCTATTTCGTAATAAAGAAATTATCATTGAATATCAATTTAAATGTAATATTAACTCATTGAATTTGGATATAATAAAAATAATAGATAAAATAATAGAAACAGAATCTTGTAATATACTATAATCAAAGTAATAAATACACATGTCCTTGAAAATAAATAAATACTAACCTATTATACCAACTGCACTACAGTAAAACAAAATGTATTTGTAATTATTAATATTATTTGTTTTAATTTTTAAGTATATACCTATAGGTATACCTATAGGTATGCCATATATATATGGCAAGCATACAGGGTGTGCTAAAAACAAGACCAGGAATCAATATAAATATCGTAAAAAAATAAATCATTTTTAAAGGAAATCGGAATTATTAGATTTTACAAATACTATAACATTAAAGAACCATGTGGGGTCGTATTATTTAAGGTATTATAGGTATAAATAGTTTTTTATGAAAATTTATTAAATTTATGAATTATGATTAATTGTGATACAGGATGTTAGGTAAATACCTAAGTCCATAACAGGTAGTAATATTGATATATCTATAGATCTATTGCACAATACGATAAAATTCGATTTTTTCCCTCCCATGAAAATTTGTACAGATTTTAAGAATTGCACATTTACCAAATATACCTATCAATAGTGTTTTTTAGGCTGTGATACTATAAATTCTAAGGCAATGTATAATCGTCAAACTAAAAGACCAAGATTTTTTCCCAACATATATTAATGTTTTATTAAAAAAAATTAACTTTTTTTTTATTTATTTAAAAAAATTTAATTGCTATTTTTTTAAGTAAAATTTTAACAAAATAAAGAACTAAATATCTGTACTCTCTAAAAATGAATTAGTCAAAAATAAATAAATAAATAAATAAATAGTCATTTATTAGCATAAGCTATATTTACATTAAATACAAATAATTATATATAAACAAATACAATAGTCAAAATATCACAATACAAAGTTTTGTTTAACATAATTCATCACAAGTTTTCTAAATATTTCAACCCTATCACAGCTTTTTAATTCATTTGGGAGGCTATTAAATAATATCAAACCATTAACAAAAAATGCTATATAAAATACTATACTATACTATACTATACTATATAAAATACTATATTATTGTAATTATGGACACTTTGTACTAAAATTAATTTGTTTTTTAAATATGCAGGAAGAATTCCAGCCTTGACTTTAAATTTAATAAATAATAATGTTTTAAAAACCACATACTGTTTAACACTCAAAATACTTAATATATCAAGCATCATTTTGATTGGAGATTACCTGTTATGACTATAATGACTAATTTAATAGTTATTAGTGGCTGCTTTTTCACCATGGTTAACCATGGTATCCCAAAATTTAACATCCAATGTAAAATTGTCCCCTGAATCCGAAAATACCGTCAAAAATTATAAATGTAGAGCAGTTTTTGAGATATAGTCATATAATGGTTATTCCATAGGGTTTTAAAAACTTTTCCTTTTTACTTGCGAGGTTGACACTCGATCTTCGTAGTGGACTGTATTATTGAATTATGTTCGTGGATGCAGGTACAAAGGACTGGCATACTTTCATATTAATTTATTCGCTTGTTACATTGTCTTAGAGCGCTAAACATACGCTCGTCTACACTGTACAATGGCTACATAACTAAAGTCAAGTCAAATCCAAGACGGACTAAAACAAAAAACGCCAGACGCGTGATCAGTCGTTTGCAGGTGGATAGAACGGTTCTTATTGGGCGATTCTGAGTTGTGAAGCGTGCCGAAAATTCTTGCCAGGGCCGCATTATGACCATTGCTGTTATTAATAGCGTATTGTTTGATTACTTCCTTGTTTTCCTTCCTTCCTTTGTGGTTATTTTTGTTATTGTTTTATTATTAATACTTGTTATATAACGTTATTTGTTGTTATTGCTATCATTGTTTTGGTTATTTGGTTTTTATTGTTATTATTATTATTCAATTAAGTGCGATGTCTAGCACACACGAAGCTGAACATTTTGAGGACTTAAGCCCAGTTAAAAAACGGTCTAAAAGAAATCACTTAAGTGTGGAAATAAAAGAGGTTATTATAAATGTTTTCATTAAACTTTAATTATTAAAGTTTAAAACAATAAATTTAAAATAATTACCTATCAAAAATTTCGTGAAGTTAATTTAAAAAGTATAATTTTTGTAAAAAAGTTTACATTAAAGTCTAAAAAAATAAATTTAAAATAATAATGAAATTATTTCCCAAAATTTTGTTAATTTCGTAATTTAAAAAATATAAATTTTATAAATATTTTAAAACCTTTCCATCAAAGTTTAAAAAAATAAATTTAAAAGATTAAATGATCAATAATATTGATTCAATATATTTGAATACGGCCCAGTGCAACAATTGTCGTCGATCACGTGAATAGAGCATGGACAACGCATGATTGTGTTTATGTAGAGTCCGGCTTGGATTTGACTTGACTTTAGTAGGGATGTTAAATGTATCAATAGTTATCGATTATTATCGATAAAATTGCTATCGATATTTATCGATAATTTTTTAAATTAATGATAGTTATCGATAAAAATTCTTCGAATTTCTATTTATTTTTCTATTTTTCCTATAGTCATAGTCTATGCTATAGTACTATAGTTAAAAAAGAGTAAGAATATCCCATAGACAAAAAACGACTAGACGTATAACTGGTTGCAAAAACATTCTTCAACATCCAAGGGATTTTAAACCCGATGTCTGTAAACAAACCTTATGAAGCAAATCAACAAATCGAAACATTAGACTTTATACGTGTAGTGGTATCTTGTCTATGGAATATCCTAGGGTCCCTATATGTAGTGAAACGTACTTAAATTCATATTCATTTATTTAATAAAGTGGTTTAAAAAGTACGCCAAAATTTATTTTGATATTTGTTTAAAATTATAATAATTACTTATTTGGTTTTAAGAACAATTTTTGATTATTAAAAATAGTTCTTAAAATCACATAAAATATTTTGTGGTGGGGGAAGTTAATGATACTTATCGATAATTATTTAAAAATTATCGATAAGTATCGATACATTTTTTTATTGATATTAACATCCCTAATAACTAAAGATGGGATATTTAGGTACTAAAAACTGAAAAATAGGTAACTAAAAAGGTACAAAAAAGAGCATTTTAGGTTAAAAAAACAGCATTTTAGGTAAAAAAAAACATTAAAAGTTTAAGTTTCGTTTATAATTTTGTTTAGCCGCATACCCAAACACAGAACATACCCACAATAAACTATTTCTCTGCAATAAACTGTGTTTCACTGAGTGACACTCACTACACAGAAGTTCTATGACAAAACATAAGCTCACTACAAAGAAGGTAACTGTAAAGAAAGTTACTGTTACAGTATGTGATCATAAGAAAAAATTTATACCGTTGAGTTGCACGCCCTGGATAAAATATTGGTTGAAAATTTAAAAAGAAAACAAAAAAATAAAATAAGTAAAAATAGATAACAAATATGTGAAAATAAACCCACAAATTAAAAAATATGTAACAAAAGTATAAAAAGGTAGTTTAAAGCAAAAACCTCCAAAAAAGGTAAAAAAGGTGAAAACAAGTTAAAAAAATAGGTTATAAAAGTATAAAAAAGGTAGTTTAAAGCAAAAACCTCCAAAAAAGGTAAAAAAGGTGAAAACAAGTTAGGTTCATATAAAAGAAAATCTTTTAAAACACATTTTGGCATTATTGGTTTTCAAATAGTTACATCGGTTGAAAAAAGGTAAAATAACTAAAATCCCATCCCTACTAATAACTACTGTCTGTTCGCCCCACCTCGTCTACTTTCGCACATTCTTGAACCATCATCGAGCGGCAAATTTAAATAAAGTAAATTAAAAAATAAGCAAAAAACCAAAAACCAGCCGGCCCCTTGAGAGAACCCAGTTCTTTCAACAAATTAACTAATCAAATAAATGAAAAACATATTAATACATTTTTCTTAACCTAACATACAACAACATTCTGAAACAGGTATTATGAATCATTGATTGGCAAAACACAAATTTGCGTCACCGCGCGCTTTACACTGTCATGACACCATTTGTTTGCACTGTAACCACTCTCGTAACATCATCACTGCCGGGATGAACGAGGGAAATTCGCCCAAGACGCCAATTCAAAGGGGCAGTATTGGAATCCTTCAGCAATACCATTGCTCCTGGGACGATCAGATCCGTTTGTTGAGGACGCTGCCACTTGCAGCGCTGTTGAAGGGAAGATATATATTCAGTCCAGCGTTTCCAAAAATGCTGGAGCATTTTTTGAAGGCGTTCATAGGACTTAAGCCGATTCTCCTTGACGTCTCTAACATCAAATTGGGGAACACTTTTGAGCGCATCGCCAATTAAAAAATGTCCAGGCGTTAAAGCAGTCAAATCCGTGGGATCATTGGAAAAAAGGAACAAGGGATCTCGAATTCAAAACAGCCTCCACTTGGCAAATAATAGAATACAAATTTTCATAGGTTAAACTTGCATTTCCGACTTAGCCGATTTTATACAGGCCTCATGAAGACCTCTAAAATGAGGCGACCTTGCTGGCATAAAATCCAAGCAATTGAATTATTAGTCAAATAATTAGAAAGTTCATTTTTAATCTTTATGCTACACAACAGGTTATTGGCGCCCACAAAATTGGTGCCATTGTCTGAATAAATAGTCTTACATACAGGGTGTCCCAAAAGTCAACGATATCCTTTGGAGGAATGATGGACCAACTCATGACCAACCAGAAAATCAAAACATGACCTTAGTAAAAAATCGTTAGTTTTTGAGATATAGTCATTTTTATGAATTTTGTAAA